GGGGGAGAGGGAGGGACTGGGGAGTGTCCAGGGTAGAGGAGGGTTCCAAATGCTGCTGTGGGTGCCATGGGCGGGAGGGAACTGAGCCAGACAGAAGAGCAAGCTCCTGTTCACAGAGCCTCTCTCCCCATCTCAGAGTCACCTGAGCTGTCCTGGAGGGATGGCTCCACTGGGCACAGCACGCTGCCTCGGTCTCCCCAGTGCACTGCCTCTTCAGAGCTGTCTGGTCCCTCCACGCCCCTGCACACCAGCAGCCCAGTCCAGGGCAAAGAAAGGTACACAGAGGACCAAGGCTACCTGGGCACTTTGTCTGGTGTCGGCAGCCCAAGGCAGGGGCTGTCTGACCGTCTGCATTTCCCCTGCAGCACCCGACAGCAAGACACCAGGTCTTCCTCCTTGGCACCAACTCAGAGACTGGGTCCCAGCGAGGACTTGCCCCCTGTTGTCCAGGGAGGCACTGAAAAGGCTCTTGAGCTGCTGGCCAGCAGCAAGCCTGAGCCACCAGACCATAGCCCTTTCTCCCAGACCTCCCCACCCAGCTCACCCAATGGCTGGCCTCAGGAAAGGAGCCCAGGGAGTCATCCCAACAGTGCCAGTCCTCGGGGCCCCGTGCCAACCACCCTACCTGGACTCCACCATGCTCCCTGGCGGGGGCCCCCAGACAGCCCCGATGGCTCCCCCCTTACTCCTGTGCCTACCCAAATGCCCTGGCTTGTGGCCAGCCCAGAACCACCCCAGAGCTCACCCACCCCTGCCTTCCCATTGGCTGCCTCCTATGATGCCAGTGGGCCCACTCAACCACCACTGCCTGAGAAACGACACCTGCCTGGGTCGGGGCAACAGCCATCACCATCAGCCAGAGGCGCCAATCAACACGTCACCTTTGCACCTCCTCTCCCAGATGTCACCCAGGCCCCAGGTATAAGGGGGTTGTAGGACAACTGGATGTCCTTTAAAGAACCCCACCTCCCAGAGAGACCGTGGGGACCCCTGGGGTTCAAACTCAATCCCTCCCTCTCCTAGAGTACCCTTTACAAGAGAACCAAACCAATGTCAAGTTCGTCCAGGACACATCCAAGTTCTGGTACAAGCCGCACCTGTCCCGTGACCAAGGTACGAAGTCAGAAAAGGTAGTGTGCCCATCCCACCCCACCTCTAAGGCCTGTCTTGGCTGTAAGTCTCATCCTGATGGTTCCCTCTGTCAAAGCTCATAGCGGAGTTGCTCACCGGTGACTCAGCTTTGGCCTCAGACTAGCTGTCCAAAGCCCTGTGACTCCAGGTCCCAGAGTTCTGCCATCCACACCGACTGCCAGCCAACTCTAACTTTTGTCCTGCAGCCATCGCCCTGCTCAAAGACAAAGACCCTGGGGCCTTCCTGATCAGGGACAGCCATTCATTCCAAGGAGCCTATGGACTAGCCCTCAAGGTGGCTACACCCCCACCCAGCGCCCAGCCCTGGAAAGGTAGAGGATGCTCCAGCTGAGGGAGCAGGTGTGGCCAGGCGAGAAGCAGTAGAATCAAGCCTAGAGCGGTGCACAGGACAGCTCCATGGAGGGAAGGGGCAAGGAAAGCCCACCAGAGAGCAACTGAGATCCTGGAATCCAGTAAAGCTTCACTTTTACACCCCTCCCTCCACTCAGGGGACCCCTCAGAGCAGCTGGTTCGCCATTTCCTCATTGAGACTGGGCCCAAAGGCGTGAAGATCAAGGGTTGTCCTACTGAGCCCTATTTTGGTGAGTCTGAGAGGGCTCTAGGGGGTCAGTTAAGAGAGAGGCCTCAAGAGGGCAGTAGAGAAAGCCTGGCTATCCATGTGTCCTTCAGGATGTTTTCCTCCCCTTGCAGGCAGCCTCTCTGCCCTGGTCTCTCAACACTCCATCTCCTCCATCTCCCTGCCCTGCTGTCTGCGAATCCCCAGTAAAGGTGTGTGATGTCTCCTCAGCTCTCATCACCTCTACAGCCAAATCCAAAAGGCCTCCCACCCCTTCCATTAGGGTAGCTAAGGGAGTAGTCCTCCAGCACCTAGGGAAGCCTCTCCCTCTTGACCTTCCTTGGTGGCCCTCACATCCTCAGATCCTCTGGAAAAAGCCCCAGAGGCCCCAGTGCCTACGAACATGAGCACGGCAGCAGACCTCCTGCGGCAGGGAGCAGGTAAGAGACCTACCTTTCCTCCCTCCCCCTGGTGCTCAAGAGGACACTGTAGGCTCCATTGATAGGACGGTGGGAGGTAGACCCACAAAAGCGGAAGAGCCCCGTGTTGTCAAGAAGCAGGAAAGGGGTCACAAGCTAAGTTTTTGGGGTTCACAATATAGGAGTCACAGCTGCTGCAGATCCCTTGGCGTCAGTGTGTGGTTCTGTGCATCCAAACAGCACTGGTAGAGGAATACACAGGACGATGGGATGAGAAGCAAAGGGTAACGGAACCTGGTTCTGGCAAAGCCATGCTAGCTCAGCAACCTACTTCCTCTCTCTTTAGCCTGCAGTGTGCTCTACCTGACCTCCGTGGAGACAGAGTCACTGACTGGTCCTCAAGCTGTGGCCAAGGCCAGCTCTGCAGCTCTGAGCTGCAGCCCCAACCCAGTACCAGCCATTGTCCACTTCAAGGTCTCAGCTCAAGGCATCACACTGACAGACAACCAGAGAAAGTGAGCCTACAGTCCCAAGGAGGGGACTGGATTTTTTAATTTTCATGTATGTGTGTGGTGTATGTGTACATACATGTCTGCATTGTGTATGAAGGCGCCAGTTTGATAATTAAGAATCTTTCTGGTCCCCGGTTGTGGTCACACATGACTTTAATCCCAGTATTCAGGAGGCAGAGGCAGGTGGATCTGAGTTCGAGGCCAGCCTAGTCTATGGAGTGAATTCTAGGACAAGTAGGACTACACAAAAACCTTGAAAAAAAAATCTTTTTGGGTCACTCTTCCACCTTATTGAAGCAAGGTCTCTCAAACCCAGAAGTCAGACACAGCTAGTCTTGCTAGCTGGCTCTCTGCTGGGACTCCGTCTCCACTTTCTGAGGCTGACTGGGGACCCAAACTCAACTTCTAGCTTGTATGGCTACTCTATGACTTTAACCTCTGGGCTACCTCCCCAGCCCAGAAACCTGGATTTATTTACTTTTGTTTTGCGTGCACTGGTGTTTTGCCTGCATGCATGCATGGTCTGTGTGAGGGTGTCAGATCCCCTGAATTGGAGTTACAGACAGTTGTGAGCTGCATGTGGGTGCTGGGAATTGAACCTGGGTCCCCTGGAAGAGCAGCCAGTGCTCTTAACCTCTGAGCCGTCTCTACATCTTTGAAACCTAGATTTTTCTTTTTTTCCTCCTTGGTTTTTCAAGACAGAGTTTCTCTGTGTAGCCCTTACTGACCTGGAACTCATTATGTAGACCAGACTGGCCTTAAACTCACAGAGATCCTCCTGCCTCTGCCTCCTGAGTGCTGGGATTAAAGGCGTGTGCCAGCACAGTGCACCCTGCATTTCTGAGTGTGACTCCCTCCCCAACCGCTCCTCACAGGCTCTTCTTTCGCCGCCATTACCCCGTGAACAGCATCACCTTCTCCAGCACTGACCCCCAGGACCGCAGGTGAGCCTTCCTCTGAGCCCTCCCCAAACTGTGGTCCTGCGACCTTAGGCCCGGCTCGCCCTTTAGGAGCTGTGCCCTGGGCTGTCCTCCTTCAGGGCCCTCTCTTTACAGATGGACCAACCCGGATGGAACCACCTCCAAGTGAGTCTCCTTGCCAGCCCAACCCTGCCCTGGTAACAAGCACCCCACACGGCCAGCATTATTCTCCTGTGAAGGGGAGGCGAGGGTCCATCTGTGGCTTTGTCCCTGTAGGATCTTTGGTTTTGTGGCCAAGAAGCCAGGAAGTCCCTGGGAAAATGTGTGTCACCTCTTTGCGGAGCTTGACCCAGACCAACCAGCAAGTGCCATAGTCACCTTCATCACCAAAGTTCTGCTGGGCCAGAGAAAATGAAGGAAAGCTGAAAGCTCGGAGCCCACATCAGCACTGCGCTCTCCCAGCACCCACAGCTCTCACTGCCCTGGCCTGGACCCAGGCCCTAGGAGCCGGTGCCACCGTATCAAAGTGTAAGTGGCACCAGCTTGGGCCACTGTCCTTTTCTGCCCTTGCCTGCTGAGCTAAGTGAGTGGGCCTATGAGATGACCTGGCACGTGAGCAGATGGCAGAGGCAGGTGTGAGGGGTGAAGAGGTAGCAAGAGTGGAGGCCTGGTGGGGAATGACCCTGCCAGCTCCACCCAGCTGCAGGTCCCATCATGGAGGGAGGGAGGGAGAGAAGCGTGGGAACTTTCTGCCTCCCCTCTGAACAGAGACCAGAGTGGGATCAAATAAATAGAGGAAAAAAGAGAGTCTATTTTTGTGTAATAATAAAGAATTTCTATAAACTTTTGAGGAGTTGATTACTTCTTCATAGGAAAAAAAAAATGCACATCTCCAAGAGTCATCCCCTTGCTGGCCTGTGTGCCAGAGGTGCCCTGGGGCCACCCACCCTCAGCTGTCAATACCAACTCGCCCTGGCCCTCTGACTTTCCAGAAAGGAGTCCCTTTCTGTGTGTCCTGATAAATATGGAAACTCCATCTTTATTGGGTGTATAAACATTTCTGGTCTGTACATACATTTCATACATCATAGTGCAGGGCCGGAAGGAGGGGCAAAGTAGCCCCAGCAGCACAACAGCACCCCCCCTAGTTCTACCCACTGTGCAAACTGAGACCAAGAGCCCCTGAAATGGGAGGAGAAGATGGGGGAGTTGGTTGCGGGGAGGGGGGTCTATGTAGACTCTAGAATCAAACACTGAAGCAAAAACAGTCAACTGGCACAAGCAGCAAGCTGGGCACAGGGTCGGGGAGTGGGCAAGGAAAGGGAGGTGAGGGAACAAGCTGTGGCCCTGAGCGACAGCCACAACATAATACATGCCTAGAGCCTTAGCCCCATCTTGGGGAGCCAGGGCTAGCAGTGCCTTGAGGAAGAGTGCAGACAAGGAGAAGAAGCAAGGGCTACAGTCCCATGCCACCACACAGCCCCGCACTCACATGTAGTAAGGGTAGTCTGTGTGGGGGCAGGTAGGGAGCCAGGCTCAGGCTTTCTGTGGTGCTTGGGGCGGGGTTGTCTCTCAATGGAGACCCTAGATGTGACTTAGGACAGCAGCCGGTGAAAGGAGAGATGGCCAAGACAGACCCCCTAGCCCAGCCAGGGGGAGACAGCAGCAACTGGCTCACATGAGGGCAGGGAATGAAAAGAGGTTTCAGGGGAACTATGGGTAAATAGGGACAGGCAGGCTGCCTCTACTTCACCCTCAGCCCAAACAGCAGGTAGGCTTACGCCTCCCAGTTTCCACAGGGTCCAGTGAGTAAAAGGAGATCTGGGTACCCACTAACCAAAGCAAGGGGACATCAACACTGTTTTCTGCCCATTCCTATCACCAAAGGCTTAGGCCCAGGGACAGAAGGTCCAGCCTGACTGGGCCCTGAGCTGGTAGGGGCAGGGTAATGTCCTCTCAGGGCCTGCTGGTGAGCAAACCCTGGGGGAGACTGGAGGGAGGCTGCAGAAGGAGAAGGGCAGATGTGCAGTGAAGCCTTAGCCACTTAAGGGGTGCAGGTCAACTTTCACCTTCTCCCCACAACTGAGCATTCCAATGGTTGGAAAGAAGCCTCCAGAAGGCACAACAGCATCCTTCTTCCCTATGATCTTGCCATTCCGGGTGAAGAAAACCTGGTGGTGGAGGCAAAGAGGAGAAGGTGGACACTGGTCTCTCCCCTGGGGATCCTCAGGCATGAAGCCCAACTTTGGGAGTCTTTTGGGGTGATATGGGAAGCAACCACAAGAGGGCAGGCTGAGGCTGGAAAATAGGCTGGAACTATATAGCCTGGACTCTTGGAGCTACTGTGAGCCCTGGCAGCTCCAGACCTTGACTACCCCTCCCACCTGCTCCCATCGGTCCTGTTTTCACTAGTGGTCTCCCCAGGACCCAGAGTGAGCCCAAACCCCTACTCACCACCACCTTCTTGCCCTCATGCTCCTGCTCTATCTCTTCCTCCTCTTCCTCCTCCTCTTCCTCCTCTTCCTCTTCACCTTCCTGGTGCAGGTACATGACATTTCGGACATTCCGGACAGCTCGAGCAGTCGGGGACAAGATCACTGTGTCACAACTGTCATCACTGTCCCCTAGGAGACAGGAAACATGAGCTCCTGAGGTACCTACCGCCCACTGCCCTGAGCAGTCTGGCTGCTGCCCAATCTCACTCACCCTCACTGTCCAGAATGTAGTCCCGGGGGAACATGATTCCACAGCCCATAATGTCCCCTTTGTAACAGCGTGGCCCAAAGGGGTCCCCTACACCACTGCCATGGAAGATCTTCCCATCATCTGTTGGAGGGGGGAAAGGACACATTGAAGGGGCTGACTCTACAATCCTCAGGGTGACAGAAAGGTCAGAGACAGGTGCAGGAAGGACGCTAGGTTTTAAAAAAGAAAACAATGTCCATTTGATTGATCTGGTCAGAAGAAAGGACAGGGTCCCTAGGGTGGATGAGCAAGCTGGGAAGGGAGGGAGGGGAGTCCAGGCGCCAAGGCTCAGTATTCTCAGGAAACCCTACAGGAAATCTGAGCGATCTTCAGGAAGGGCACAGGGAGCCAAGTCAGAGGCCTGCAGTGTTCACTCTGGCCCAGTCCTCCTTCCCTGTCCTCTGCCTCTGACTTTCAGGACTGAGAATAAAAATAAGATGAAAGGAAAGTCTGAGCAGCCTAGAAAAAGGAAAAGAGAAGCTACACGTGAGTCTGCAGAATGTGGGACCCAGTGTCCCATCTCCCCAGCCTCCACACCAGCAGCTTCCGCTCACCTGCATGGTACGCCACAGACCCTCTGCTCCAGCCAGGGTGCCTGTTCTTGGGATAATCCTACAGCAGGAAGACAAAAGGAAGTCTGTGACATCACCCATGATGAACAGGGACAGAAACAGAAGAAAGGGGCATCTGACTCAGCAACAACTCAAATGGGCTGGCAGTGCCAAGGAGGATAGAAAGGGGCTCAGTTTCAGGGCCAGACAAGGTGACACACTTAGGACACTGTCTTCTGTCACAAGGCCTGTCCTCTAAACAGACCCTTAGAACTACGCTCTGCCTCAGCTCACAACTTTCCTCTACAGGCCCCTTGTCCAGGTTTCCCAGCGTTTCCTGGCCCCATCCCAACAGCCCCAAACTGACCCCACAGGGAGAAAGACAGCACTTGCGCCCACCTTCCTGGCCAGCCCCAAGGCGATGTAGCATTTCTCTCCAGGGTCCACAATCTCCACCTCGAAGTAATGGCTACGGGTGCTGAGTGGGTGCCGGGCCTGAGCCAGCCCCACATCCACGATACTCTTTCCCTTCCCCAAATATTCCAGCAGCTGTGGAGTAAGAGCCAGAGGGCAGAGGTCAGGGGGATTCTTTCCTGGACACTGGACCAGTTTTCTGAATCTGACAGAATCCCCTGGCTAAATGAAAAGGGATTCTAAAGGCAAAGTGGACTCTGAATTCTAGGCAGGCAGAGGACAAGGATGACAGAAACAGGTGGTTAGTGTGAGATGTGGGAAGCTCACTGGGGTCTTTAAGGCTGGAACATCCATTCCTTGGACAACCCAAGCCTGCCTTCCTTCCTGCAAGGGGGAGGAGAGCAAGGGGTATGTAGGAGTTAGGAGCCAACCGCAGATACACGAGGGGAGGGGACAGGCTCAGAAGCCAATTCTGCACAGATGGGACTGATGCGGTTTCTCAAGACCTGTCCCACTTGGCCCTGAAATGAACACTCCCTTCTGGGTCAGGGAGGTGCTCAAAAGAGCCAAGAACCTAGAGATAACAACTCTACCCTTCCTTTTACATGGGCAAAGGTGAAAAACAAATGGCAAGTACTCCAGTTCCCAACCCTCACTCAGGCTGGAGTTGGGTGTGAAGGTAGAAGGTGGATAAGACAGGTTCTGGGGCCCTTCAGTCCCTCATGGTCTTGCCTGCATACAACAGGATAACAACCCCAATCTGGGAAGCTTTACCTACCAAATGTCATGGTAACAGTGGGGCTCAACCCCATCTCCTTTTACCTACCTAGCATCACCTAGGATTCCTTGATTCCCTTTTTTTTTTTATTTTATTTTTATTTTCGAGACAGGGTTTCTCTGTAGCTTTTGGTTCCTGTCCTGTAACTAGCGCTTGTAGACCAGGCTGGCCTCGAACTCACAGAGATCATCCTGCTTCTGCCTCACGAGAGTGCTGGGATTAAAGGCAAGTGCCACCACGGCCCGGCCCTTGATTCCCTTTTTTTTTTTTTGGTTTTTCGAGACAGGGTTTCTCTGTGGCTTTGGAGCCTGTCCTGGACCTAGCTCTGTAAATGAGGCTGGTCTCGAACTCACAGAGATCCGCCTGCCTCTGCCTCCCGAGTGCTGGGATTAGAGGCATGCGTCACCATTGCCCAGCCCCTTGATTCCCTTTTAACTAACCTAACTGCCCCTCAAGACTTTCCTTCTACTCTCTAGAAAGCACACACCCTGGGCCTCCTCCATTAATCCCTAGCAAACCTGACGAAAATGGCCTTACCACACTAACATCCTACACCACCCTGAAGGCCTGAAGGTGTGTGTCTCTTACAGAAGCCAGCCCTACTCATCCCCCTTCAGAGTGGACAAGAAGATCTCACTCTGCTCACCTCCAGATCCTCCAAGTCTACCCTCCTATACTCTAAAGACAAGTGAGGACAGATGGGGAAAAGCCAGAGGTGCGTGGGAGCCGCAGGGCCACACCCAGACCCACCATGTATTCTGTCTGTAGCCATTAGTGTTCCCCAGCCTGGTTCTGCTCAGTATCTCTACCCAGCCAGGAGAAGGGTCGTTTGGTGTCTATTAGCCTCATCTATCAAGCAGCCTATGATCCACTCTCTCCACCCAATGCTGCAGAGCTGGATCAGAGACCCCACAGCTGCCTTTGACCCATCCTATCCAACTGGCCTCTATGTTGGAAACAGGGTGTTCTCTAGTTCCATGGCCAAAAGGCAACTGATCCAGATCCTGATCCTTGGGAAAAACCCGCCCAACCATTCCCCTCTGCCTAAGCCCACAGGAGGCTGCGGCTGCAGTTCTACTGACAGGGTGGGGATACTTCCTAAGGGCAAGAGGCCATAAGGATGACTGGCCCTGACATGGAACTTCACCCACACCCACGGTTCCTGAAGAGCACTGGAACAGTCGCTGACATTCCAGCCCTGAGCAAGAGTGGAACCATCCATCCCATCACAGGGCGGTCACCCCAAATCAGAGGTTGTTCTCCTGCTTCCAGCAAGTCCTCCTGAGCCTTCAGCATAGACAGCTTAGAGCAGGGAGTCACCTCCCTGGCAGATCTTTTCTAGGTACCATTTTGGGACTCT